TCAAAGGATTTAATTCATATAATCTGAAGTCAAAGGAGGGATCAGTATCAGAGCCTAAATTGGGAGAATCCGGTGTACAGAAGACAATAGATGACTGTGGGAGTACGAGATTCATTGGTGAAACTACATTGTAAATAAACCTCTGCAGAACTCCCCCTATCTCAAATTGAGGCATGGGAAGAAAGTGGTCACTAGGCAGAGAGCTTGGGAGACAGGAGTATAGAAGCGCCAAGGCATAAATCTGACCTGAACAACTATAAATTTGTCAGTTGATCCCCCCTAGGATGCAGGATGGACCTGATCTGATTTCCAATTTTTTTTCTATGTTTTAAAATGTGTATTGTTTTGTTCAGTTTTTTTTTTGTTTTGTTTTTTGCTTGCTCATAGTAGAGTATATCTCAGAGGTGCTATGTCAATGGAGGTCACCCTCTTAAAGCTGTGTTATGTGCTTTTCTGTTTTCGATAAATGAGGCCCAGGGTTGATGAACCTATAGAGAGAGCAAATAGAATAAGGGATTTGTGGGGAGGGGGTCCAGTGGTGGTGCTGGGGTAAAAGGGAGATGATATCAAGGAGCCCATGTAGAAAAGAGTGTTTGGAAACTGTAGTAACCATTCTACAATTGTATTCGATGTAATTGAAATATGGATTGATAGCATATATGTATTAAATCCCAACTTAAAAAAAATTCTCAAAGAAGCAACAGCCAAGAGATAAACAAAGCATTGCTTTTGACAAAGGACCTCTTGTGAGTGTTGAAAGACAAGGATGTTACTGTGAGTGCAACTGACTCAAATCACGGCATTTCAATTGCCTCATATGCATGGTAAAGTTGGACATTTAATCAGGAAGACTGAAGAAAAGTGTTATCTTTGAACTATGGGGAAGAATATTGGAAGTACCACAGACTGCCAAAAGAACAAACAAATCGGTCTTGCAAGAATTACAGCTAGAGTGCTCTGTGGAGGCCGGATGGTGAGATATAGTCTCCTGTGTTTTGGACATGTTTTCAGGAAGGACTAGTCCCTGAAGAAGAGCAGCATACTTGGCAACTGAGAGGAGCAGTGAAAGAGAGGAAGGACTTCAATGAGACGGTTTTACACAGTTGCTGAAGCAATGGGCTCAAGCGTAGGAACAATTGTGAAAATGGCACACGACAGGGCACTGTTCTATTTTGTACGGAGTCTCTCTGAGTTGGAACAAACTTGATGACCCCACCACCACGAGCGACAGTCTTTTTAGTGTAGGTGAGGGCACCAAGAGTGGGATCTGATTGGATGGCAAGTAAAAAATTTGCAAAAATTTAACTCTAAAAATTTGTAAGAACGTCATAAAAACTAATCAAATTTAACTTTTGACTCATGACAGTTATCATTATA